TGGACGGGCGGTTGTTCGGCCGCCAGTTCTTTTATTTTTTTTTTATATTAATTTTCTGAAATAAACTTCTTTTATTTTTTTATATTAATTTTCTGGAAAAAAAAAAAGCATGATAAAGAAAAATAAAAAGAACAAAAAACGGAAAACACATCAAACAGCCTCAGCAAACAAATCATCTTCTTATACGTCTCAAATCAAATTCCCTTTAACATTTATTTAACAAACCGAATCCAAAACATCAAGATGGCACTTCCATATCTATATAATGCGACAATTAACATTACAAAAAGTAAAAACAACAGCAACCCACACATCCAGGTCCTTAAAATTGCCAAACGAACTAAATTAAGCCACCTCAGCAAGTCAAATAAGCGTCTAATTGCCAATCTGGCTCTTCCACACATATGCCACCTCAGCAAGTGCTTTAGTAGAATTCCCATCTTCACTCAGAGCCGCTGCAGCCGCTGCTTTCAGCTTCTCCATTCTCTTCCTTAGTTTTTCCCTTTCTTCTCCTTCTTCTTCCATAAGAGCCTTAACCACTCTCGCAATCTGCTCCTTCTCGACGAAGCCGCTTTCGCCCGCTGTCGGTCTCAGAGCCACTTTTATGTCTTCCGTCAACAGAAAAGCGTTCATTCTCTGCTCGGCAAAGAGAGGCCAAACGATCAGTGGCACGCCGTTGACCAAGCTTTCGAGAATGGAGTTCCAACCACAGTGGGTCAAGAACCCGCCGGTCGAGTCATGGCTCAAAATCTGGGCCTGTGGGGCCCAAGAAGCTACCACCAGGCCCCGATCCCTGGTCCGGCTCAGAAACCCTTCAGGCAAGAAGTCAAACGACGACTCGTTTTGCCTGTTGACCTTGAAGTATGCAGCGCTCGCGGCCTTGTCGTTTGGCGGCCTCACGACCCACAGGAACCTCTCCTCGCTCTTCTCCAATCCCAAGGCCAGCTCGTTGATTTGGCGGGATGAGAGGGTCCCTCCGCTCCCGAAGGAAACGAATAGAACACTGCCACGTGCTTGTCCATCCAGCCAAGTCAGACAGTTTGACTCCTCCTCAACCAATGTGGTTCTCTCCATTTTGACAAGTGGTCCCACGGGGTACACACGTGGTAGTTGTTCACTGGTTTCCCTCTTCTGCAAGGACGAAATTACCCCACGCTCCAAATCGTTGAACGTGTTGACGATGATCCCGTCGGCCAAACGGTACTGAGTCGATTTCTTGAGAGTCAACTTGTAGACATCACTCTTTCTGTCCAGAATCGGGTCGGGCAGATCCTTTCCCGGTATCGGGAAAGAACCCGGAATCTTCACCGGATCGGGGAGTTCCCAGTAGTCCAGCGACGTCGTTTTGTCGAGCTCGCGCAAGTGGAGAATCACAGACAAGGCCGTGGCCGCCGAGGGGTAGAAAAGGTACGACGACAAGTTGAGGTCGCGCGCCACGCCGAAGGCGTCCAAACCGAAGTGGTCGACGACGAGGGCAACGAGACCCACGCGCCGCGAGACAAGGGACTCGAGCGCGTGGCGGATGGAGGCGAGGGAGCGGACGACGGTGAGGGCGATCTGCATCTCGATCTTGGAACCTTCTGGAAGGTCGTCGAAGTTAACCGGAGGGAGGAACTCGAGGTGGATGGAATCCGGTAGGCCGGTGAAGACGGATCTCATGGCCGTCGATGGAGGGCCAGCGTTGGGGACCACGAAGGTGACGGTGAAGTTGTGGTTTCCAACGAGGCGCTTGGCAAATTCCACCATCGGGATCACGTGACCCATCCCCGGCGACGGGAGGATCGCCACGTGCAGGCTTTGATTTTGTGGCTGATCCATGTGAGATGATGAAATGAAAAATGAAGAGAGGAAAAAATTATCTGATTTTTTTTTTTTTTTTTTTTTTGAATGGTTTCTGAATGATTTTCTGTTGAAATACAGGTCGTATGGAAAGTTGAAAGCCAAAGCGAGAAAGTGGGAAAGACGTGTAGTCTGTGGAGGTGGCAAAAGAAGAGAGGCTGAGAATACATAAAGAATAGGGCGTTTTACACTTACACCCTGGGTTTTACCATACTAAAAGACATCTTCACCAAATATATAATTAAGTGAACACCCCAGACTTTTAAAGAAATACAGTTACGCAACCCTATGAGTTGACCTACTCTATCACTTTGCATCGAATAAACTCTCCACCTATTTTCTTCCTTTTTTTTTCTTCTATCCTACCAAACATAACACTAGGAAGCTCTTTTCTTTAGTAATTACTGGTGGATTACCCGTGCATTCGCACGGTACGTAATAATTTAATTAACAGTAATTTAAATAAATAAAACGTACAAAAACACATATTATTTAGTAAAAAAAAAAATTACAAAATTAATTATTATTTACATTGTATCTATTTTAATAATTACATGAGATATATATTTTTCATCAATATATACTAAGAAGATTATATTTACAATTTTGAATTGAACAGAGGATAAAAATATAACAAAAATATATAAATAGAATAATAATAAATAAATAAATAATAAAACATAATTTAATAAATTCTGAAAAAATCGATAGAAGAGTGCAATGTCCTTATTATATGTTAAATCACAATATCCTCATCTGAACATGTATAATAGAGTACATTCCTTAATAATACAAAGAAACCAATATACCCAAATCTATAAATATATAGTTTTGTTATCTGATATTGATACGAACAATCTTTTTTTTTAACATTGTATAAAAACGGTATACATTATGTATAAACAATTTACAATCAACAACATCCACCATAACAAAATACAAATTTCAACAAACTGAATAATAAACACTAGAGTAAATATAGTGAACAAAAATCTCATGAAACAAATCGGTTAAAGAATGAAATAATTAAGAGTGGAATAAAAAAGATAAAACACCTGCAACTAAGAAGCAAAAAGATTGGTTACTGTTTAAAAAACATAAACACCTTAAACTAAGTAATATAAAGATAAATCTTCAATAATCTGGGGAAGAGCAATACTTGCTAAATTACTATAAATAAGTGTTCAATACATGGCAATAATTCTCGGGCATTAATGTATCAAAAGTAACTGAAATATGATTCAATATTATCATTGGCTACCAACTGAATTATTGAAAGACTTGCACTAAATAACAGGAAAAAAAGTATTAATAACTATAATAATGAACAAAAACCTTAGAAAGAAAATCTGTTAAAGAATGAAATGGTTCAAACTGGAATAAGAAAAATAAAACATCTGCAAGTAAGAAGCAAAAAGACAAAGACATCAAAACATATAAAAGGAATGGTTCAGGTATTCATCTTTTTTTTGCTACCAACATGTATCAAAAGTAACTGAAATATAATTTAACATTGTCATTGGCTGCAAGCTAGATTATTGAAATAGTTATATTAAATAACAGAGAAAAAATTTATAAGTAATTGTAAATGAACAAAAAAAAAAAAAAAAAAAAAAAACAAACTGAGAAAAAATTTAATAAACTAAAAAAATTTAATAAACTAAAGAAGAAAAAAAAGTGTAACCAATTTTAAAAAATTTGAAAAAACCAAAAAGAAAACTTAAATTTTACTTGGACAGGAAAAATGAATACATTGAATCAACTAACAACAAAATAATAAAAAATGGAGGACAAAAGGAAAAAATAAGAAAATAAGAAACTTCGGAAGTTAAATCATAGTTAAATGATTATAACTTCCTACCAAATAACAAACACCAGAGTAAAATAGTGAACAAAAACCTTAGGAAAAAATTCGGTTAAAGGATGAAATGGTTCAAAGTGGAATGAAAAAAATAAAACACCTACAACTAAGAAGTAAAAAGATTGGTTATTGTTAAAAAAAAACATAAACACCTTAAACCAAATAATATAAGGATAAATCTTTAATAATCCGGGCAACATCAACAATTAGTAAATCACTATTAACAATTACTTAATACATGGCAACAATTCTCAGGCAGTTATTATTATTATTTTTTTGCTACCAACATGTATCAAAAGTAACTGAATTATGATTCAACATTATCATTGGCTACCAGCTGAATTATTGAAAGACTTACACTAAATAATAGAGGAAAAAAATTTAATAACTGTAACAGTGAATAAAACCCTTAAAAAAAATCGGTTCAAAGATGAAATGGTTCAGAATGGAATAAGAGAAATAAAATATTTGCAAGTAAGAAGTAAAAATATTTGTTATTTTTCAAAAAATATAAACACCTTAAACGAAATGATATAAGGATAAATCTTCAATAATCCAGGCAACATCAATACTTGCTAAATCACTATTAGCAATTACTCAATACATGGCAACAATAAAAACGAAAAACATCATCACCGCCAGGGACCAATTGATTTTTAATTGAGAATGAAGATTTAGAAATAAAGTGGAAGAGGTAAGAAATAAATACCTTAGAGTAACAACGAAAGTGAATAGAGTTGATGCAGATGAAGTAAAAACACTTCAAAACAGAGATAACAAAAGGAACTCTCTAATGAAAATTGAAGAAAAGGAAGAAAACAGAAAAAATAAACGATAAGTATATGAAAAGGAGGTGGAAAAGGTCAGAAATAAGTACCTTAGAGCAACAAAAAACACTTCAAAACACATAAGAACTAACTCCAGTGATGAGAAATAAAATCATTAATTTTTAACATTAAAAACTGAATCAAATCCTCTAAAACAATAAAAACACAACTGTAAGATTAAATAAAATATTACCTTATTTAAAGAAGAGGAATACAGAAGCAGACCGAGTAGAACAACTAAGAGTCCAAATTTTTGATGAAGCATCGATAGGAAACAAACCTTAATACTACTAAGATTTGTAAACAGTAGGATGACACAGAAGGTATGAGAGATTGTATTATAAAAGTCGGAGAAGGAAAACAAAAGAAAAATGAGAAACGACAATAATGAAATAAAACACAATAGTTATATAAAAGAGGTACAAATTTTTGATAAAGCATCGATAGCAATTGTTGTGAAAAAAAAAAAAAAAACTCAAATAATCATTAGTTAACAGATGTCATGAAGCATGCAAGTCACCGATAAATGGAACAAATAGTAAAGAGACAGTAAAAATTTGTGTTATACAGAATCATAGCAAATTAATACGTGTCAAAATAATATCTAAACACTATAATATCGTAAAAACTATCTAGAAACTGTAAGAAACAATTATATCAAAAATTAATCCAGAAGATAAGAGGAAAAAATCATTGGAAACGTAAAAAAAAAAATTGAAGAAAACATGGACTAATAAAAGCACAGACAAATACTATATGAAAAAATTAAATGAAATAAATTTCTCTTTAAAAAGAAAAAAGAAAAAAGAAAAATATAAAAAGAGAAAATATTGTCTGAACAAAAATGATGGAAAAAAATGGGAAAAAAAGTAAAAAATTCCATAAAGAAAAAAAAACCAACGAAAGGGAAAAAAATAAAGAAAAATAAGCATTACAAAAGTCCTTTACAAAACAACAAATTAGAAGCAACGGACTAATAAAAAAATAAGAATCTACATTAACGCATACGATTGTTAAGCATCACAAAATGAAACCTCTAAATGTAGAAGTTTCGAAGATAAGAATGCAGTTACTTCTTAAAGAACAACACTTATTTTTTTCATTCTTCAGAAAAGAGAAATCTGCAGATCTGATGCTAATGACTTCTTGAATCAAGCTGATGTTGTTGCAGCCAAACAATAAAAGAAAGTATGTGAACAGCATCCATGGTTGTAGACAGTCAAAAATTTGTTCGGAGCTGTCGTAATGGTGGTCAAGGATAAGGCACTAAAATCCTGTTAAAAAAGGAAGAAACTTTTCAGAAGCAAATGCAAAAAAATAAAATCAGAGAAATTAGAAATAAAAAAAATTGAAAAAAAAACATGAATGAACAAAAGTAAACCAAAAACCGAAACAAAAAAACTAATTCGAAAAAGAAAACCATAAATCCACAAATCACTGGAAGAAAGAACAAAAGTAAAGCAAAAAAAAAAAAAATATATATATATATATATATTCGAAGAGGAAATCCCTAAAAATCAAAGAATACCTAAACAACGGGGAAATATTAGAAAAATTTACAGATAGAAAAAAACCAAGATACATACCAAATTGAAAGAAAGCCCCAAAAAATATCAAAGGAAATTTTTTGCAAAAAAAGAACCCTAAAAAGCTAAAAATACCCAGATCACAAAAAATGAAGAAACAAAAAAAATTTTCAAATAGAAGAAAACGTAAGAACTTTACCAAAAAAAGATGAGGAAGAAAACTTCACGAAAAGGATGAGAGAGAGAAGAAAAGAAACCCAAAAAATTGTGCAGAAGAAATGAAGTTGGAAGCTTCGAAGAATAGCAAAATGCTATTCTGAAATGAAATTAAGAAATTATCCAAACAAATAACAAAACTCATATATAACATAACAAATCGAGATACAACCCCAAAAAATGTCAAAGAAAAATTTTTGGGAAAAAAAACCCTAAAAAGCTAAAAATACCCAGGTAGAAGAAAATCAGAAAACAAAAAAAAATTTCAAAGAGAAGAAAATGTAAAAACTTAACCAAAAACAAAGCCCTAAAAAATCTAAACCAAAACCAGAAGGAATCGTTAAAAATACGAAGAGCAGATATGGAAAATAGACGGAGGAGAGAAACTTCAGCAAAGAAGAAAATGAAAAACGTGAGATGTGAGATGTGAGAGTGAAAGAAGCAGGAAGGTTCTCGAGAAGACTAAACAACTACCACCGAACGAAATAATGAAAATGCCCAGCAGATAAACGCAAGAACGAAATAAAATTGAGGAAAAAATAATAAAAGCAACTTTTATGGGACACAAATGACATTTTATGAATTGATTAACACGTACAACACCGAATTCCACCACTGATTTAACACGTATAACACGGGATCCCACCACTGAAATCTGTATTTTCAAAGACAGCTGTGCAGGAAAAAAAACAGAAGTAAAAATAAAAATATATTGCTAAAGACAAAAGTACCCAAACAAAAATCAAATCAGAGGTAAGCAACTGAGGATAAAATG